ATGAAACTTCGAAGGATTCATCCTAGTGAAGTCCCTCACTCTAGATGCATCGTACCCACATTTAGGTTCACGAGAACAACAACCTCCCTATTGTCTTGGGCCGTTACGGCCTGAGCCAACACTTGTAAAGGACCTCTAAACTCCGCATAAGTCACTTTTTCGGCCAAAGGATCGACCGAGACTTGAGGAGCTTGGGGAGGAACTTCTTGTTCCACATTCTCCCTCACATTCCTTCTAGCATAAGCTCTTCGAGTGCCATATCCTATAGAGCATCGGATAAGGATTAGGAGAGATACGTTATAGAGTTAAACTCTACCACACGACTTTAGAGTAATGAAAGAAGTGAAGTTTCCTAAACATCTTGTGGCCTCTCATTCATAAATGTGTTGCATTTCACACTCATTAACAAGACTCTACTTGATGTGGCTTATGAGACATCTTAGGGCCATTCTAAACCTTGTGCTCTAGTTACCAAGTTTTTCACGACCCAGGAGTACTCCTTAGATATAACACGGCGTATAAGACTCCACTTAGCATTCATAACATAAGAAATAGAACAATAGAAGTAAAACAACTTTTCAAATTCAATAGCTTTATAAAAGAAAAGCGGAAGTTTAAAACACTTTGTGTCAATAGCCATCTAATACAATAGAATTAAATTGGGCCTAGCCCATACATCATGTCCAAAAACTGAAATACAATAAGGAAACTAGAACAGTTAAAATCCATCCTTGAAGCATGAGGACTCACCAAAGCTCGAAAACACTTAAAATGAACCACTAGCCACGAAACTGAGAAATCTGACTTTCGGATTCTACATTTGGGGAAATGTAGGCAAGAGTATGTGTTAGTACAAAACAATGTACCATGTATGATAGCTATATATTTTCATTAATGTAAGAAAAATAAAAAAATTATATATATATATATATATATATACACACACATATTTGGGTAGGTATTTACATATGTCACGATTGTATTATCAAGTTAACAAGATCTTCAAACTTCAAAATATATTATTTTCAAATTTTCACAAAAAATGTGAATATATATGAATCATTTAAAATATATCATTAAAAAATAAATTTTATATTCAGTAATATGGAATAAGCATTTTCATTTTGTCCCTACACTAAATTAAAATTTTAATACCTATAAAAAATAGTAACATTAATTAAAATTCCTATTTATTTATGTAAGTATAGAATTTATTAGAAACTCNAAATTCATCTATTGCACATTAATTCTTTAGTTTAACATTATAAATTATCTTAGTTAAAAAAGGAAAATAAAAGAATCATCATACATGTCTCAAATAATAGGATTTTATAAGTATAATTTTGAGGAGTTATAAATATGTTTATTAGATAATTTGAAGTTATGAATATGAAAGGTTAGAGGTTATAGATATTACTAAATTAATTATGTGATTGAAGAGGTATGAATTAAAGAGATGATTTTATAATTAAAAAATTAAAGAAAAAAAAAACCATAAAAAAGTATATATATATATATATATATTTATTATTGCAAATGTTATTCACTCACTTTTACACTCTTTAGTTATAATATTATGAATTATCGTAGTTATTACATTAATTATTTTTATCTTTCATCTTTCCTTATATTAACTTTTGGCAAATAATTTTTCATATTATTATACCGCCCATATATATGTGATAACATGGTTTTGTTAATTTTCCTTGGACAAATCATACTTGGTTGAATAAATTGAAAATTGTTTACAAGTATATGAACTATATCTTTGTTGGGTGTAAGATAAACAAGTGATTATATCTACGATTTCACAGATAGAATATATTCTTTAATTTTATTTTTTAATTTTTTTGGTAAAGAAAAAGGAAACTTTTTTCAGTTAACTATGGACAGTCAGCTAACTATCTTTGATTTATGTACACAGTTAATCGAGAAATCAAATATGAGAGACAACAAAAAGAACATCATCTATTATGTTATAACTTGTAAAATAAAAATTAATATACAAAAATAGTTCTAAAAAATAAAATGTAGTTGTTCTCCACATGTTCACATGAAATCTAAATAGATTAAGTAGAATACATGTGCAAAGTACATCTGTTTGGATGACAAGAAAAATACACAATAAATATCGTGTATTAGGTAATATTAGTGAGATACGACTAATTACATGATTGAACCTCATCAAATTAAATTAAATATATACATTATTGCGTTTAACTAATAAAACTTTTGATTGCCCATCTTCTTGGTTCGATTTCCTGGGGAAAGGGGCAGAACCATCCCCACCTTATCAAGACAATTTGGTACTTGTTTTCAAACCCATCTAAAAAGGCAATCAATCAGAATTGAGAAAATAATTCGAAAAATCTTGGTAAACACTGGAATCTTTACCCCGTTGATCCAAATCCTGTAAAAAAAGATGATATTTACAAGGACGGGAAGCGGTATCGAACAAGAAGAGCTGGAAGCGAAGCACCCTTTGAAAAGCTTCTATCTGTGAATAAGAGATATATATGATGATCCACATTGAATATTCACAAAAGAATCTGTAATATTATTTTGTGCAAAGCTTATTATTCAAATCTTAGCTTAATTTTTCTGAATTGATATTCAGTGCAACACACGTGTCAAAAGACTAATATATATATATATATACTTATTTCTATTATTTTTCTTCATTGAGATGCTTTATTTTGTTTCTTTCTAGCTCTTCCAATCCATTAGCCAATTCTTGTTTGTTCCAGTCTAAGGGTTAGGCTTACATCTCAATGGGTTTTAGTAGTTTTCATCATGACCCAGAGTAAAGGTCATGACATGTGAATACAAAAATGGATAAAATCTGCAGTTGTTGCAAATCTTGTTTTAATTTGCAAACTGGAAACTAAATAATAACCATGCTTTCAGGGTTAACCATTTATTGTAGGTAAGAAAAAGTTTTATAATCTAAAAAATAAGTTAAAAATATTTAACAATATTCGACTTAGTTATTATTTAGTCGCAATAACAACGTATTTAAAATGAAATCTCTTCTTTCAAAAGTGAATATCATAATGAATCTCAAGTATTTTCAAGCGATAATTCATTCAAGAATCCAATGAAAAATCTATATATCATGATATTAAAAGAAATATAATGATTTTTTTATTCACTTGATTACTCATTTATTTAGTTCTGAATAATTTAAGTTGGAAGTCGGTTCCATCTTCATCATCATTGTCATCTTCTTCTTTATTGTTGTTTACATTTTTCATCTAAGCCACATTATATTTAGTTACATTGAGAATGACAGAGACCGGGAGAGAATTATATTATATATAATGAGTAACGAACTAGGGTTTTCTAAATGTTATTATAAAATTTTGAACAAGAAAAAAGTTTGAAAGATTTTTTGGACCGAAAAAGTTTGTAATAACATTTCGAACACCCTAACCATTATCCCTCATATATATTATGGTGTTTTAATAGTTCTTCTCATATTAAATACAACTAAACCTAATGCGACTGGGATGAATAAGGCCACAACAATGAAAAAGAGAATGAGTGTGATAATGATAAAGTATATTTCCAACATGAATTCTTCAAAACTGAATCAATGAGTATTCAAGTTCATAAACTTTTCTCTTCATTATAGTTCCTTTATTTGACGATATATTGATTTATCATTGAATTCTTCACTGAATTATAACATCCAAATAGTCTAGTTTTCTTAGAACGTTGATATTTGAATATAAACCTTAAATTTTAATACGTTGTTGTGTGTAATTAAATACAAATTAATTCGATTGTTGTTAAATCTTTTAAGCTTATGTTTTTAGTTTTTCTTATCTAGAATAAATTGTTAATTCAATGTTGAAAGAAGGGATATTATTCAGATTTCCTATATTCAAATTAAAACAAAACCTGTAACAATTACTTTATTGTTTTATCCGATAAAGTATTCACATTTGGTAAATATATATATGTAATATCATCTATATTGAATATATAATAGTAGTAGTAACACTTTTGTTTTGAAATAGAGGGTTCCATTGCATATTGATATACAAAATAGGTGGATTTAGTTGGACTCATATTGTTGGTGTTGTCAAACTTCTTATCAGGAGACCATGTCTAACTTATCTCTAACCTCTTCCATAACCTTAAGACTATGAAAGTTGTTTGCTAGTTTTGCATGTTTAAATCATGAGACATTAAAACTATTTCAGGTAATACTAAAATTGTGGAAAAAATAGTTTGTCAAAAGTAGAAGAATATATTCATCCTAGTGTCGTTCATCGTTATGTGGAACTTGCAAGATAAGAAAATAGTCAAAGTGATGGGAAGACGGTCTTTTTATAGTTTAGTTGTGAATGTTAGCATGGATAGTTTAAGACTAGAAAGTAATTCATACCCTACGTAGAAATAAATTCTTTTTTTGTCAAGAAATTGTGTATTACATCGAGAAATATGAACCAAAGCCTTAATATCTAATTATTTGTTGGAAGCCACTACAACAAGAACAATCAAAATGCAATACATATGGGGCAATCTAAATAGTAGATCCTATGGCTTCTATATGAGAATCATAAAAGAGAATTACTGTGTGTCAAAAGATAGGAAGTTCATTGAATTGGCAACATAGATGCAAAGGCAATTATTATTAGGAAAGCGATATACCATTCTGTCTCTATGGGGCTTTCCAAGGGAAAAGTAGAAACTGACTTGCTAGTCCTTGTTAAAATTCTTTCAAGGTAGTGAGATATTACATTTCACATAACAAATATAGTTGAGCACATCATGAAGTTATCACAAAAATTCCATGTGATGCTAACACACATCTAAAGAGAAGTAAACACACTAGCATATTGCATTGTCAATCAAGCCTTTGGTAAGAAATAAATAATCATTTTTACTACATTTATAACATTACCAAATAAAACAAAGGTATTTTCAATTTTCTCAAGCAACAAATGTACAACTAAAGAATAAATTCTAAAAATTTAAATCTGAATATTAGGGAAGAGGAGGAACACATCATCATAAGACTACGAGTACAAAACTTCTGTTATTTTGTCGGATGCTCATACACAACAAGGACACCACACAAATACAAAGGTGAAGGATTCAACTAAAGACCAACATAAAATACACAGGTGAATGACAAAGCTAATGCTTCAAGATAGATTCAACCTACAATGCCATAGATATTAAATAAGTTATGGGGGAGTGAGTAAATAAGGCTAGATCGGTACCACAGAAGAACACTGATGTATTATATCATTGACACAAAAGTTTCTCGGATCTACGATACACAAAAGGGTAACACTCTAAGAGCAACCACCGCATAGATAGACAAAAAAGCAAGATCGAAAATCCGTACTGTTTCGAAGCATAAGATTTTCCTCAAAGCAGCTTCAACATTTCCTACAACATCAAATTCAACTTAGTAATAAATGAGTAGAAGGAAGAATATGTAGAGGAAAACAAGGAAATACTCACCAACTAGAAGAAAGAGCTCAACTCCTTGACCATCATAGCAGATCCAGAGCTTTCATAGGAACCTATAAGTTTGAGTCGAATAAAAAACCCTTTGTTTGCATATGTGACTCAGGTGTGGACAAATGAGATATTATATTGGAGGCTCATAGATAGGATCAAAACCTATTTTTTAGATGGGCCGGTCACTTTTGGACCTGCTTATTGCTAGACCTGTTTGTTGTCAATAACTACAGGGTCTAACATGCCAAAAAACTTTTATAAAATATATTCTTTTAAAAAAATGTAAAGAGAATTTTATAATTTTGTAATCTTAAACTAAAGATATGTGTAATGTAACTAAATTTTAGTTAATATTGTTATCTTAACATGCCACGTGGAATATTGGAAATAAAGAGTTACCAAATTAGTAAAAAGATATTCATTTCCAAATAGACAAAAAAGAAACATAAGCCAAATAAATTGAAACAGAGAATACTTGTTCAGACTTAGAATCTCCACCTTCACATGAGACATATATTATATTCATTTCATGAAAAATTATGACCTTATCAAATCCCATTCATTTTGAAAATGAAATACGAGTATTGAATGGTCATGTAAATAACCTCAAATAAGCTATGTTGCATAGTGTACAGTAAGAAGATGTATCATTTTTATAGTGCTATATGTGGCACGTTTTGCTCTTAAGATATATATTTTCATATATTTTGGAATTTAAACTATGATAACTATTTTTGTCAAAATTTATTTATTTTTAATCTGTTTTGTTACACCCCACTCTTTCAAAGAATTAGAATTAGAAAGAAACCATTTTTGGAAATAATCAAATTTTGAAAGTTTGACAAATTAAGCTAAGTATGAGTTTTGGGTCAACTTCAAACGACCATAACGCACAGCACATGAAGAGTTTGTTAGGATACATGACATCAAATTAAAGGTCTTTGAATTATCTTTCCAACTCCACCAAGTTTTATCAGTTTCGAGTTCATATGAGGGAGATATGCCCATTTGAAGTCGGGTTGTCTGAATAAGGAAAGTCAACCAAATTTTAATGGGGTATTTTGGACTTTTCCATACCCCAAGTTAGCTAAGTATGAGTTTTGGGTCAACTTCAAACGACCATAACGCACAGCACATGAAGAGTTTGTTAGGATACATGACATCAAATTAAAGGTCTTTGAATTATCTTTCCAACTCCACCAAGTTTTATCAGTTTCGAGTTCATATGAGGGAGATATGCCCATTTGAAGTCGGGTTGTCTGAATAAGGAAAGTCAACCAAATTTTAATGGGGTATTTTGGACTTTTCCATACCCAATTAATTTATTTCATTTTTGGTAATTACTTAGGGGTCTAAACTAAATTGGGTCAGTTCACGCAGTCAAAGATTTCACACTAGGGTTTTTAGAGAAAGAACACAAGAAGAGAAAAGAGGAAAAAGAGTCAAGTTTCGTCGTTCTTGAGATTTTTCTTGTGGATTTCGCAAAGGGTTAATCCCTACGAGGTATGTGAGATCACATAGCGTTGGGTTCGTTCACCCACGCGCCAATCATGTTTAATTCAACGTGTTTGTTTCTTGACAGAAGAGTTTATGAGCTCTTGATGAATATTGTCAAAAGTTTCGTTTGAATCTTGATTGTTGAGTTTTGGAGGAGTTCTTGAGTGAATTGCATGAGTTTTAAGGTTGTTTTTTGAATAGAATCTTGCATACTTTGGTTGTGTATTCGAATCTATGTGTTTGGGGGAGAAATCAATCGAAACTATAGGGTTCAGAATTGAAAAACGAGCAAGAAAATTTGGGGATTTCTGGGCAGGGGCATGGGGAGCCGCACCACTTATATCACCCCAAACAAGTGTCTAAAGTTTTGGCTATGGGGCACCGCGCCACTCGGAGCACCCCAACCCATCTTATTAAGTATTGGGTCTGGCGCCCAGAGCCACTCAAAGCGCCAAGGAGCTAGGTCTTCTACCCTTTCCCACTTCATTCAATTTGAGTTCCATTGAATCGTACCTATGTTTTCTAATTGATTTCTAAACGCTTATGGTGCATCTAAATATCATGATAGCATCCATAAATATGAATCATATATTTGAATCCATAAATTCAAATTCAAGGAAAGTTAAGAGTCAAGTCTAGAATGTTCTTAGAATCTTTTCAAAAGTCTTGTGCAAATGCTTTAAAATTGTTTTAAGACATGAGTTGTGAGTTGAGTATAGATTGAAGAGTGAATTTCGTTTCTTCAAAAGAGTATATGGGGATTATGTATTCCCAAAGATTAAATGTTTTCACATTTAATCAAGAAAGGAAACACCGATTTCCAACAAAGCCTTTGAGCTAGTTTTCAGTAAAGAGTAAATGTTTTCACATTTAATCAAGAGCGGAAAAACTGATTTCCAAGAGAGGCTTTGGGCTAGTTTTTGAGCAATTATCTCATATCACCTTAAGAGTTATGTGTTTAAAAATATGAGCTAGTTATAATTTGGGAGTATTATTCAACACCGATATGGGGAAGAGTTCAGACAAATCACAGCCCCCATAAACAATGTAGCCAATATGGGTAGAAAAGGGTCATACTTTTTAGATGATTCATTAGTGCTTTGTAGCATAAACTAGTAGATCCACTTAGTAGTAGGTTCTATAACCCCGACAAGGAATAGGACGACCCTGGCAACGTGAGGCAAAATGTTGCATCATCACATAGCTCTAAAGTGATGGTTGTCGGTTAGAGAAACTCCCCTAGTTAAATTTTGTATTCTTATATACACAGATAATACTTGTATTTTTACATACAGAAAGATTTTAAATTATATCGTTGTATACAAACTGAGTTACCATTGTATTTCTAAATACATAGAGTTGTTATCCATATTTTAAAACCTTTTCCTTATATTGCATATATATTGTTGCTTTATATTGAAGTGAGTTGAGACCAGGTATGTTCCTTCAGTTCCTTATATTGAAATGAGTCCGGGAAGCAGAAGAGCAATGCTAACCGGTCATTCTTCCAACAGAAACAAAAAAGACGTGGTCCATCATCTGCTAGTGCACCTACACCAAGGAACAAATGTGAGTTCAATAATCAGAATTCACAGAGTTGTAGAGCTAGACCTGAGCATTCTCAGGGTAGTACGGCACAAGGGGGTAATAAGACTTTTGAGTGTGCTAAGTGTGGTAGGAGCTTCCCAGGGGTGTGTCGTGATGGCTTCACTCGTTGCTTCAAGGGTCGTCAAAACGGTCATTTTATGAGAGATTGTCCTAAGAAAATGTAAGATAATGGTCATGGGGGCAATAGAGCCCAATTTTCTTTAGTTGCTCCACCAAACAGACCTGCATCTAGAGGAGCTACTTCAGGGGAAGACAGAGTAGCAAACTGTCTTTATGCTATTACTAGTTGCCAAGAGCAAGAGGATTCACCAGATGTTGTCACTGATATGATCCAAGTCTTTAACTTTGATGTTTATGCTTTGCTAGATCCAAGAGCAACTCTATCTTTTATGACTCCTTATGTTGCTATGAATTTTGATGTTCTTCTTGAGAAACTTCTTGAGCCCTTTAGTGTTTCCACACCTGTTGTTGAATTTATTCTAGTAGAGAGAGTCTATTGTGATTGTATAATTTTCGTCAATCACAAGATTACCATAGCTGATTTAGTTGAGTTAGAAATGGTAGATTTAGCTGTCTTTCTAGGTATGGACTGGCTTCATGCCTCTTATGCCTCAGTCAATTGTAGAACTCTAGTTATTAAGTTTCAGTTTCCTAATGAGCCAATTATAGAGTGGAAGAGTAGTTCAGCAGTGCCTAAGGGTCGTTTTATTTGGTAACTTAAGGCGAGAAAGTTAGTTTCCAAGGGGTGTGTCTATCACTTAGTCCGAGTTAATGACTCTAGTATTGAGATTCCTCTTATTCAGTCAGTTCCAGTAGTAAAAGAGTTTCTAGAAGTCTTTCCAGATGATCTTCCCGGAGTCCCTCCTGAGAGAGAAATAGACTTTGGTATAGAGATTCTTCTTGATACTCGTCCTATATCCATCCCTCCATACAGAATGGCACCAGCAGAGTTGAAAGAGTTGAAAGAGTAGTTGAAAGATCTCCCAGAGAAAGGTTTTATTCGACCAAGTGTCTCAGCATAGGGCGCTCCGGTCCTATTTGTGAGAAAGAAAGATGGTTATCTTAGAATGTGTATAGATTACCATCAGTTGAAAAAGGTTACTATCAAGAATAAGTATCCTCTTCCGAGAATTGATGATCTTTTCTATCAACATTAAGGTATCACTTATTTTTTGAAAATAGACCTCAGATCAGGCAACCATAAGTTGAGAGTAAGGGAATGCGATATTCCAAAGATAACTTTCAAGACCCGTTATGATCATTATGAGTTCCTAGTTATGTCCTTTCACTTGACCAATGCACCTGCAGCGTTCATGGACATTTTGAATAGAGTATTCAAGCCTTTTTTAGATATGTTTGTTATCGTATTCATTAAAGAAATACTAATCTATTCGAGGAATGAAGAAGATCATGCTAGTCATCTAAGAGTAGTTCTCCAAACTCTAAATGATAGAGAGTTGTATGCTAAATTCTCTAACTGTGAGTTTTTGCTTGAGTCTGTGGCATTCTTAGACCTCATTGTTTTCGGTGATGGAATTAGAGTTCATACCCAAAAAAAAGAGGTAGTGCAGAATTTACCTAAACCCACATCTCCAACTGATATTAGAAGTTTCTTGGGGTTGGCAGGATATTATAGAAGGTTCGTCGAACGGTTCTCATCTATTTCAACTCCTTTGACTAAGTTGACTCAAAAAATAGTGAAGTTTCAATCGTCTGAAGCTTGTAAGGAAAGCTTTCAGGAATTGAAAACTAGGTTGATTATTGCCCTAGTATTGACCTTACCAGAAGGTACGCAAGGTTTTTTTGTATATTATGATGCGTCCCGAGTTGGACTGGGTTGTGTGTTAATGTAGAATGGTAAAGTTATAGCCTATGCCTCTAGGCAGCTGAAAGTTCACGAGAAAAATTACCCAACCCATGATATAGAGTTGGTTGTCATAGTATTTGCTTTGAAAATATGGGGTCACCATCTTTATGGTGTTCATGTGGATGTGTTCACCGATCACATCAGTCTC